AATATATTCTTAATTTCAGAAGAATATCATCTAAAATCTTTAAGAAGATTGTTTAAGTATAAAATCTTCTACTTACAAGAATATAATTTTTTCGGTGTATTCTTCTTCAATGTTTGGAAGAACGGAAATGCCGGATCATTTAACGGAATTAAAATGTGCATTAATTTGTGCGTTTTGTTCCGCAGAACCAACAGTTCGAACTGGATCTTTTGAACGAGCGCGGACGGGAGGTTCTACGATTGGCGAACGATCGCAACAAAAAAGCGATAGAATCGCAACTTTCCGAGATTAATTCGGAATGGTGCGAATTGGTCTCGGGTCTCGAAGGACGCAGAGATGCGCTCGAGGCTCTGTCGCGACACTGGGAAGACTTCGAGGCGCAATGGAATCTCATCGAGACGCGATCGAGCGCGATCGAGGAAAAGAACAAGCTCGTCGACTCCGTGGTTCGGTCGAAACAACACATGCACGACACCATCAAAGCGCTGCAGGTAAAGCCTGATGCTGTTTTTTTTTATTACACAAGTGATCTCGACTTTTTTTTAAAGAGAAAAAGACTTGGGGGGAAAAAAAACAGAAGTCATGTGTTTTGTTATATTTTTAAATTCAAAAGTTCTCAAATAAATAAATATAACGCAAAAATCGCGTGAGAAAATAAATTTGGACGAAACGGAAGAGATCGGAGTTTCGGTCTTATCAAAGTTTTTGTTGGATCTCGCGCGCACGGAAGCGTGTCAAACTTCCGTGTAACAATCGAAAATTATAACAGGCATATTTACGTCATCCCGCGCCGGTGAGATATGCATTTTGTTTTAAATAGCGGTCGTGCGACGTCGTTATTTTATGTCGGTAGAGACGTTGTTTCTTATCGATTTGCGACGCGTGCCAAGGGTAACGAATATAACACAAATTAGTTCTGTCTTTCTCTCTTTTTCCGGGGGATTGAGGGGGGATCACATACAAACGCGCTCCAACGTGTGTTCGGACTTGCACGGCCAGGTACCACAGGTGCGGCGAGGGCCCTCGAAATCTAAACTACTTTATTGTAGTCGCTTCCGAATGATCGAGCCGCGATGGGCGCTCGCGCGAGAGCTCGCGTTTTACACGCACGAAAACAAGAACTTTTGCTCTTATCCATCGCGCACAGTCGTTGTTCTTTTTTTGCGATAAAAATTTCCGTTCGAAAGACAAACCGAAATTAATTAAAATTTCCAACACAGTGCGAATTATATATGTTAAAATTAGTCACAAAAAAAAAAATTCCCAATTCGCTGGATTTTTCAACGCTATTGTAAAAACAGGAACTCGTGGCGGAGGCGGAAAAACTCAAACCCGCAACCGAGGAGGTGAAAAGCTTGGCGGGACCTGTGCTCGCGTATCTCGCCGCGTTTACAGAAGCGCCCGCTCGAAGTCTCGAGGAACGTCTCGAGAAGCTGCACAAGTCCGTCAAATCGTGAGTCAAACCATCACCATGTTGTTGGGCTTTTTTTGTTGTGTTTTTTGGTTTCTGTTTCAACTGGACCAGAGCACCGTCTTGCTCTTGATCGGCCCCGGTCTCGAGATGTTTTATTTCGCACAAAACACAAACAAACACTCCGGGAAAAAATGGATTAGATTTAAATAAATTAATTTAAATTTAACGAGATAAAAAAATGGAAAAATAGATCTAATTAGATTCAAATTAAATCTAAATAGATATAAAGTATAGATCTAAATAAATATAAAGTAGATCTAAATAAATATAAGCAGATCTATTAAATTTACACACCTTTATATATTATATTAAATCTACTTTAGATCTACTCAGATCTACCATAATTAAAACTACTCAGATTTGGTTAGATTTGAGCAGATCTCAACAGATCTGAGGTGATCTAATATATAATAGATCTGGGTAGATCAAGAGTAGATCTAATAATAAATAAAAATGTAAATTTCCATAGATTTACTTATATTTATTTAGATCTACTTTAGATCTATTTAGATTTAATTTCAATCTAATTTAGATCTATTTTTCCATTTTTTTTATCTCGTTAAATTTAAGTTAGATCTAATCCATTTTTTCTCGGGACTTGAAACGAAACAACAGCGCGAAACAACTCTCGACTAAGTGACACACAAAAGAATATATATTCATAAATTCACTTAACATTACTTTCGTCTCGTTACTTTTTGTTTGCAAACGATCTCTTTCAATTATTCACGCGGAATTGCACATGGGACGCAAACCAAGAGAGTGTTTGAAGATAACTTTTGAATTTTCAATTCAATTAAAACGCGCAATTTTTATTAGTTTGATAATTAGTTGAAATAAACATTAGCGTCATGCAAATCCGTCCGTTCTTTCCAATAAATTTAAGATGATGCGACTTCGAAGAGCGTCTAATTTTATAACAATTTGTTGTACAATTGTCTTTTGTAACAAACACACATTCGCGGTCTTGGGAGGCCCGGCAACGACGGTGCTACCACGGTCCAACGGATTCGCATGGGCATGCGCATGGGAATCGCTTCTTCGCTTTTTTATTATCTTTTCCTTCTACGTAAAAAAATTTCTTTCGAACAATTTCGCAAACATTGTTCCATCAATAATTTAACTGCCGTCATATCTTTGTTGCGTTTTTTTCTTCCAGGTTACATCTCGCCATTTTTTAATGACACATTACAATTGTTAAAATTGCAATACAAGTTCACGCAAATATGTTTCTTTAATATTTTAACGTTATATATGTTTACGGGAAGATTTCTCTCGCCGTCTTTCGCGCGAGAAATGGGTTCGATGTTCGCGTCTTAAGCGAGCGAAGAAGAAATTATTTACGCGCGTACAGAGAACGAGAACTAGACAGATAGCGCAATTGTCCCTGAAGCGCGAAATATTGCCGAAATGTCGCAACTGTGTTTCATTATTGTTGCGCAATATTGTTGCGACATACCGCGGTCACATACGATGATGTGTTTTCGTCGAAACTATCGCAGAGAACAAATGTTCTCTGATAATATTCTGCAGCAAGTTTAAACCGCAAGACAAAAAATAAAGTGGATCTTACGCGAAACATTGCGCGGCAACATGTCCGCAATATGATTTTGCAACACCGCGGGAAATACGAGACATATCTTGGGTGCTGTGTAGTGTAGCACAAACATATTTGTTTTTTTTCAGAAATATTCCAATCTTGCAAGATGATAAAACAATGTTCTTGCAACAACGTTTCGCGTGCCGCGGAGACATTTCGAAAAAAGAAACAAGACGCGTCACGTAAAGCAAAAATGAAACAGCGCGCGCGCACCAACTTTTGCGCGCGATCATCGTCGTCGACGTTTATCCATTGGATCCGCTTTAATTAACGCGTCGCGCTACGTCATCACCAAATCCATCGCGTATGACACAATACAACGTCATTGTAAACAGTCGGTATAGAAAGATTCCGGCCGAAGAAGGTCGATATGTGTTCCCCGTTCGAGAAACGTGTGCGTCCCAAGGTCTCTACCGTATGTTACCACGCGCGCAGGCCGGTTTCCTCGCTCATCCAGTCGTCCTCGTACCGGCATCGATGACGGAATCGCCACTCTCGGGATCGCATCTCTCCTCGCATCTCGTCGTTGTTTTTTTTGTTTTTTTTTTGTTTTTGGTTTCATCGCTAATTGCGCGCTAAGTGAACATTCGCAACGCGGGGTGTTCTCGAAAAAAAAGACGAATATTCTCTCACGTCAGATTTTTTTCCACAACGCGAAAGTGTTTGTCGCGCACACGAAACGTCACCTAGCGTGTTTACGTCTGGTCAAAGCGTGTGTGTGTGCCGGCGCTTATGTCATTCAACGCGGCGTGAGAATGACATAAAGTTTTACTTGTAAAAAAAAAAAAAGAAAACACTTGTGTGTGATCGCGAGATGCAAACGCGAAATTGCAAAATCGTCGCAAGTACCGACCGACATTCCCGGCGGAAATGAATTTGAGTTTTGGGAGACACAATCTCCCGAGGTGACGATCCACCTTTCTTTGTTCTTTTTATCGAATTTTTTTTTTTTTCGGTTATCGGTCGTCACGTCAGCGAGGAAACGAAAACAACGACGTCGTCGCGAGAAGATTGCTCGCGAATTGAATAAAAAAACAAACAAAAAGATATCAAATTGTTTCTCGAGATTGGGTATTGCTTAAACTTGTGAAACCGCATTTCGCATACGGCACTATATAACGTCGTGTCTGTTTCTAGACATGTATATGTGCAGCGGCGGCGGCGGCGGCGGCGGCGCAGCGGCCTCGCATGCGCGCGACAAAGTGTGGCACGAGATATCGACAACACACACACGTGTGCCGAATGCGGAATTGGAAATAAACTTCCAATTAGGAACGGATTTTTTTAAATGCAATCTCGCAAGTCAATCTCGCACAACAGTCAATGAGATGGCAATTAATTGCCTCGTCAAATTATAAAATTTAGTTTTCTGCAAATAAAAACGCGCGTGAGATTTGTCAGCGCTCTTGTTTTTTTTTTTTTTTTTTAAAGAAAGTTGTGTATTTCAAACTGGAAAAAAACGTCACGTGTGTATTTTTATTGCTCCACTTTCAACTTTGATTCCGAATTTCCGTTTCTTGTTTTTTCAAAATTCTCCTTAAAAAATAAATCACGTCTTTTTTTGTTAACTCTTAAAAACCCTACCAGTGGTCCATGGGACCCCAGCATGACTTTGAGCGCAAAGTCGATTTTCTAAGATTATTTAATTCACGATTTTTGTTTGACACATATTATAATAAAAAATTCAAATTCGAAAAATAAGATCTTCTTGACTGATCAGCATCCTTTGGAGAGTATCTATGATTTTTTTTTCAAGATGAAAAAATGAATAAAGTAATTTCTAGAATCTTTTAAAGAGAGGGGCTGGGGACCGGTGGACCCCCAGTGGAGAGTTTGTTATACGGGTACAAAGTATGGGGTTTAAGGGTTAATTAAACAGGGGGACGCAGTAGACACTCGAAAGGAGAGATGCCGGAATTTGCGCGCAAAAGTTTTCAAATTTAATTTAAAAAAAAAAATTAATAGAGATTCAATTTTTAACGTCAAATAAAATGTGCCAGAGACCTACTTAGGGTTCACTTTTAGGAAATGTCAAGAGAGAGAGAGACAGAAAACGATTTGAGATCGAGTATGTAACATTGATTGGTAATGCAAGTCCGTGTAATCTCTTCGGTTGCAAATTTCAATTGTCGTACACGCAACGTTACACGCCGGGCGGTGGTTTTATGACTTGCGTTATTCGTTGCGATAGTCACGGTGTTATCAAAATACAATAAGTTTGTTGCACGTTGCTACCGCGCGCATTATGCGAACAAATGCTCAAAGCGCATTCCCCTTGTGTGTTTTTTTTTTATTTTTCGTACATTTTCGTTTCCCGACGACCTAGTTTTCTTCTTCTCGTAACAACGGGCAATTATTTTGCTTTCAGCAAACAAATAAAGAAAATTCCGCCTGGATTTTAATTGTACAAGAATACAAGCCTTTTGTTAAGTCCGAGCAATACTTTAAACAATATTCATTTTGAGGAAATTTACACTGAAGTGACCTTGATCTTGTACGCATCAGATTCAGCCGCGTCGCGTCTTCTGTCTCTCTCTCTCTCTCTCTCTCTCTTGTGTCTCATTATTTAAAATCGTCTCTCCCCTCGTGAAAATTTCCAAGTCTTCTCGTAGAATCCATCGACTTCTCGCATCCTCGGCGCGGCCGATTATTCTTAGGACCGTCGTTCTTTGGCTAGACTAACCAAATCTTGAGGCCGCATGCGTCGCGGCGCCTCGCCAACGCGAGTAACGTCCGTCCGGAGCTAGCTTCGGCGGCTGCGTCCGTCCAATAACGTTTCGAACCGCGATCGCTGCTGCTTGGCTTGATAGTGCCGCGCCATATTGTTATCCGTACAAAAAAAAAAAAAAACAATTCGAGAGAAGTAGAGAAAAAGGAGATTTATAGCGAGAGAGAGAGAAAGAGAGAAAGAAAGAGAGAAGAAAGTGAAAAGTTCACGCACCGCGTAACGAGCGAGTATCGCGCGATTATCCCCCGCAGCCGGACGTACACATAGGTATCACATCGATGGCTTATACCGCGCGGAGAGATCGAGAGTGGTTTTTTTTTTTTTTTAAATTTTTTTTTATTCTCTTACTCTTACGGCACAGACAATTGGAATGACGTAAACACCCGCGAGTTGGAAACAATCGAGTCGCCGTGGATTTTCATATGTTTTGCGGAAATTCGAAAACGGAACATCGCCATGTGCTTCAATTTCGCTTCGACGCGCAATTTTTTTTTGGTGTCGCGGCCCGCCTCTTTTCGCACGAAACAAGCTCGCGATTACGTAAAACGAAAAGTGAAATTAAAAGAAGACCGGTTCGCCGTGAATCTTTAATTTCATTCTTTTAACCTCCGATGTTTTTCTTGTTTTTTTTTTTTTAGGAAATATATATATATATATATATTGTCAAAAGAGCGATTGTGTATGTTGCAATGATGTCATCGTGCAAAGAGATCCAAAGTCGCCGGTAAAAAAACTTCGAGAGCGGGGAACACGATCGACACTTCGTTTTTTTATTTTTTTATTTTTTTTTTTATATAAATAACGTCACGAGTATCGGCGAAAAATCGCGTCGTTTTGGGAGATGACGCGCGTTGTAATAATTCGCAAACAGTATTGCATCGCAGCAAAGTTTCGATCATCAGCGAGTGGACGAAGGAAGCCAAGAAAAAAAAAAAAAAAAACGACGAAGAGATTTTTATCGTACGATAAATTTTGCACAGTCGCGATATCGCGTGCCTCTCCCTCTCTTCGAAAGGTCGCGATAAAACAAAAATAACGTCGTAAAACCGTGACGAAAAAACTCGCCCGATGATCGATCATCATCGTCAAAAAATCCGTGCGCTTTTCTTTCGAGAGGATGACAGCGCGCGCGCCGAGTTCTCGGGAAGAGGATGACATCAACGTTTAAATTATTGCTTCTGACTTATGTGTGCAACTGGTGAAAATCATGCAATCGTTTCTATTTAAAGAAACCGCCGTCTTCTTCGCAAACTCGCCGATGGAAGACAACACCGGGAGGAGAGATCTTTAATAAAAAAAAAAAAAAAAAAAAAACGAAATCGAATTTTGTTTGTCCGAAAAACCGATCGGCATTTCGCGCGCGTTGTCAAATAAATCGCGCGCGATCGTTTTTCTACGAGAGAGATTACGTGGCGCACAACACAACTCCTCGTTTTCAACGTTAGAGTCTTTCTCGCGAACGGTGCTTTCGAATCGGTGCTCGGCTCGCACTTCCTTCGTCTACTTTTAGCCGAAGCTGCTCCCGCGACTCCGCCTGGGTTCGGGCCAGCCACAGCTGAGGCACAACGACACGCATTTCCGATTCTAAATTCGTTCTATCTCTCACCGCGAACGACATCCGTGAATAAATTTATCACGATTGCCACGTGAAGTTTCCTTATCGCGCAAATTCTCAGTTGCGTGTAATTCATCATCATCATCGACACGTGTCTCTACGTGCGTAAACGGACGCGTTATTATCTCTATGTTTATAACACGTCATTTCAAAAACCTCATGTTTCAGTTCATAAATAACAAACGAGCTCGTGACAAATTTGTTAAACAAATCTCTAAGGTTGATTGCGCGAGCCAAATTACAAAACGTAAACGTGTGAGAACATTTTTTTATCCGTCCGAGAATCCAAAGTTCAGACGATCCAACGATATGAGAATCCGCAACATTGTTTGTAAAACATTACAATAATCTGCATAAATATTGTAAAAATAAATAATTTAACGTGAGATCGACATCAGTAGACTTTGTTGTAAATCGATTGATGTTTGAAAAAAAAAAAAAAACTGATCTTATAAAAAATCAGAAATTAAAATTATCGAAAACAAAAGAAACAATTTTAATTTTTGCAATCTGGCTCGCAATTAGCCCGAATCGATCGACTTGGTTTTGCGAGCTGATCGCAAAAATTCATTTTTGAAAATTCTTCGTTCGGTCGTCTGTTTCTCTCTGTAAACAATTTTAGCTAGTTCTTTTTTTCTGACAATTGGCCGTACAACAAAAAAATTGATGTAACACGCGATAGAATAAAGCAGAAGAGCGCCGCGACGTTGAATATCGATCAACCCTTTTTTTTCCTGTTCGCAATTTTCCCCTAAACGTGTATAACGCACAAGCGCGGATCTTTTTAATCCCTCGTCGGCGGTGGCTGGATCACCCGCGAATCACATTTAAACAACAATAAATAAAACAAACATATTAAAAAAATGTAGCGCCGTCATATTAGCGCGCGCGAAGCGACTTGTTGATTATTCGATGGACGGAAAAGTCAGTCGCGAGTGAGCCAGCCACGGTCTTCCGAGGGATAACGTTCTTCTTTCTAAATAGTTTGGAAGAGCCTTGATCGCTTGATCAAGAGACTCTTCTCGACAAAGAGAATCACCGTGCGAAATTTCGACTTCTTTTTAGACTTGTCAGCTCGCTTTGTGAGAAGTCCGAGAAGGCAAGCGAGGATCTTAAGGCGCTCGAGAACGTCGAGCGCGAGACCGAGCGTTTGCGAAAACGGCTGAACGAGGCGCGCGAGAAAACCTCAAATCTATACGTTTACGGTGTCGATCAGGACGCGACCGAGGACGAGCTGAACGAGCTGCGATCCCAGGTCGAGGATCTAGTCGACACCGCCAAGAAGTTCTCAGGAAGCACTAAGGCGCGGTACCAAGCTAGCCAGCAGCTGGTGCCGAGTGACATTGTTCAACATCTCACGGCCCTCGAGCTCTGTGCCGAGGCTACAGCACAGGCGATGGAGGAGAAACAGAGGGAGCAGAAACGTGCCCGAACCACCAGGTCGGATTATCTGGCCGACGTGGACGAGGTGCAGGCATGGATTCGCCAAGCCGAGCTCAAGGTGCAGGACAGATCGGTCGAGCCGACCGTTCTTAGGGAGCACCTTAGGCAGATACAGAACGAATTGGGAACGATTAGCGACAAGCTCGAACGACTGACGAGCAATGGGCAAACCATCGTCAAGAACACGAGAGATAACGCCGAGAAGGAACTGATCAACAGAACGATCGACAATTTAACCGATCAGTTGGCGCAGGTCAAGAGCTGGCTGGAAGAGAAGAAACAGATTGTGGGCGACACTCTGGACGCCTGGCAGAGGTTCCTCACGCTTTACGAAGCCGTTAAAGCGTGGACGGAAGAGAAGAGACAGTTCTTAGTCGAGCCGCTTGAGCTCAGCTCTCTCGTGCAAGCCAAACAAAGACTGCACGAATATTCGGTACGTGTGTGAGGGAAAGGACTCGTTCTCTCTCTCTCTTCGAGCGTCACTGTGTGTTGAACACTTTCTTCGTTTTATAGACGGCGGTCAAGAGCTGCAAGCAAGTGAACAAAAATCTCAGCGACATGGGAAGAGAATTGGAGAACATCGGTCAGGTGACCAGCGTGGGCGATCTACCGGAGAAACTGGCCGAGGCGGAAGAGGGGAAGGTTCAGGTCGAGGGTCAGCTGTTGGAAAGGGTTAGTGAACATAGCTTCCGATCTTCGACCGGTACACTTGGTAGTTGTCAACCCGAGGTTGTCGTGTCAAAAAAAAAAACGTCTCTTCGTCTTGCAGAACGCGCTGTTGCAAGAGGCCAGCGAAGAGTGGGAGCAGTGCGAGAGGAAGATGAAGGACGTGCGGAGCTGGATGGACAAGGCCAGGCAGACGCTCGACTCGCCCCAGAACAAGAAGAAGCCGCTGCGCGATCAGCACGCGATACGCGAGAAAATGCTCAGCGACATCGCGATCCAAAAAACGAAGATCACGATCTCGGTGGAGAAGCTCGAGGTGCACTTCAGATCCGGCATTGGCGGTGACAACCGGGTCAAGGACACCGCCGACGACCTGATCGCCGAACTAAACGGTCTTCACAGCACCGTCAAAGAACAAACGAGTTCTCTCGAAGTTTGTTTAGCGCAGATCGATCAGTATCAACAGGTTAGCGCGACGTTCGTTCGGGAAAACGAGACGTTCGTTTTCTTTTTACGCGAAGATCAACGTCTCAAAAATACAATCCCTGATTTTAATCTTCGAGATCAGAGCGAGATAGTTTTGTTTTTTTTTTTTTCTTATTGCAGGAGATACAACAATTGAGGCAACAAATCGTGCAGGTGGAGCAACAACTGAGAACGGTACTCAGTCCGACGTACTTGCCGAACGATCGCGAGAAAGCTCTTCAAGAGCAGCAGGTAGGCATCGTCTTTCTTTATTTCTTTTTGTTTCTAATCTAATTTTTCCACCACCTTGCACAAGCGCGCTAAGGCAGCAGTTGAGTTTTTTTGCATTTTTGTGCATTGATACCAACTCGAAACCACCACCAAAAAGAACGCGCCGTTTCTTTTTATATGTATATGTTCGTTCGCGCAATATTCACAGTCGGGGGTAGTTTTCTGCGTTCTCGGGTGCGGTTAGGCAAAACTCTCCTCAACCCTCACTTCAGACTAATTCGATCGCGTGACCGAAACCCATTGGTAACCTTCAGCTAACCGTCGATCGAGCCACCATTAACCGGAGAGAGAGCTTCCCTTTTCAGTCATTTTTTCTTCCTCTTTCATCGTCACACGCACGCACACACAGAGACTAGAGATTAATTTTCAACAACAATCTCTCGTAACAAATTAATCTCTAAACACTAATTAATATATTAATTAATAATACTAGTATATTATTATAATTAATATAAATCAATATTAATTATATTAATTAGTAATATTGTACATATGCTATTATATTAATAATTAACATTATTTTATAATAAACTAACGACATACGTCAGTTTCTCACCTGTCGATCCTTTTGCTAAACTTTTAATTTAATCCCAATTCTAAATTATTTTCTGTGACATCTCACAAGAACGTTGATCTGACGAATTTGATTCTAAAAAACCATTTAAACAATATTTTGTGCAAAAATTCTCTCTACAAACAGAAAAATGCATACTCTGTATAATAAGTTATAATATATCCGCAAATATGTTATAAGATTTTCGTAGGTATTTAATTTACTCGAAATACACTCTAAATCTTAGTAAATTTGTACTTTGAGTAAATTAAATACGAAAATCTTATAATATATTTGCGGATATATAAACTTATTATATACATGATACAGTACGCATTTTTCTGTGTGTAAGACGCCAATATCTCGCGCTGTCCACTTAGCGAAAAAAAGTCTCATGTAATTTAACAATTTTTTAACAAAGGCAGACGAAAAGGATCCAAAGGTTCAGAATTAGAATTAAATCACCTCCTTTAAAATCTAAAGTTTCTTGAAAAAAAAACATCACATCTTACCGTCAGCTAATCTAACATTCCAATCTATTACTAATTGCTCCAATCTATTACTAATTGCTCCAATCTATTACTAATTGCTAACATTCTAATATTTAATCACTAACACACTCGTTGCCTATCCTGCACTTTCGGCAGCAAGCAAGTTGAAATGTCAAACTATTTTTTTTTTTTCACGTTTAATTTTTTAATAAAAAAACTGACGCGCGCGAATCGTCAGTCGAGTCAATCGACGGTGTTGTTCACGTGTCATGGTGGGGGGTTTGAGTAAGACTGGTGGTGTTGGTATCACGTTTAATTCTCTAACTGTAACGACGTCTCTCATTATCTCTCATCTCTACATACTTACACACACACAGACTTATCCTCCGACACTTATCCTCGAGCTCTCTGAGATCGATCAATGATCCTCAGACACTCGTGCCACATTGTTCTTGAAGGGGATTACTTGATTTTGTGCTTGTTTTTTCTGTGTTACTTTTTCTGAGTTTTTTTTTTTTACGTGTTCACTTTTCAAATATGTGTATATATATATATTGATGTACAATCACGCGTGTAAATCGCTACACCTTCGTGTACTTATGCTCACACGTAATTTACATGTGTGCGCGCGCGCGCGCGCGCGTGTGTGCCACGTAGGTGAGCACTGTTGTACGCACACATGCGCTCTACTTTGCATCTTAGAACAAAAGGAAGAAACAAAATCGTAGTGCGAAAAATTGTTGTTTTTTACATTCACGTAAAGCGTGTCACGCACCGTTTTGTGCATTGTTTTTTTGTTTTTAATTTTCTATCTCTTAGAGTTGTTTCAATTGTTCAAGCTTGGAAAAAAAAAAACATACGTACGAGTCACAGAAAAATCAAGTGACCTCCATGAAATAATTAAACGTGTTTTAACGAGATACGCACATATATACAAAGAAAAAAAAATTCCGATTTATTCCCAATTATTTTCTATTCTGCTGTTTACTTGCGTTCACTTTCTGTTTTTTTTTTTGTTTTTTTTGTTTTAAATTTATTATTTCGTTGCTATCATTATTTTACCGATTGTTTTATTTATTGACGTTTTCTTTGCCGTACCCTCTGTTTCCCCCCTTCACACCCCACATCCAACGATCGCCCCCGTGCTACTTTCATCTGCCACTCTCCTCGTCATCGTCGTCACTTGTCTCCCTTGCGATCTTTTTCTCTCTTTCTCTCTCTCTCTCGTCGTCTTGTCTCCGTCGTCTTGTCACCGGGATCTCGTCGCTCTCATCATTTCCGATCACGACTCGCTCGCTCACTCTTATCCTCGAAAACAAAAATGTGTTGTTTCCCTTAAACCTCCCATCCCTCTGATCATCAACACGATCCCTCGTTCTCTCGTCGTTGTCGCTCGCTCGACGTGTTACGCGCGAGATCAGATCTGTCGCGAGAAAATCAAATCGTTGCAGAGCAAAATTCAGGCGCGCACCGAACGATCGAAGCTGCTCGTGCAGCGAGGAACGCCAGTCTCGGAACCTCTGGACCCATGACAATAGAGAGATCTACCCCCCGCTCGTTCGGTTCTCGTTGTCGTTATCTCCGATTGCTGGCTTGTTCAACCGTTGTCGTAGCTCGCGAGAAAAATTATGCGGCGCACACACACACACACACACACTCACACTAGCTAAAGAGGTGGCGCACAATAAAGCAACGCGTTGCACTGACTTAGTCCACACACGAATCTGTCGTTCAGAATTTATTTCGACGATCAGCACTATCAAAATTTCACACACGCAAAAAACACAAATTTTCTCTCGCCCACACCGTTCGCTATTGTCTCTTTTATTGTTTTATTTGTTTTTTTTTTTTAAGCGCAGTTATCGAATAACGACGACGACGACCGCCGCGCGCGTCGAGTTCAACGAAGAAAATTCGTTCGGTGCGCGAACGGCCAAAAGACGAGGAAGCGCACGTTTTTTTGAAAAAACGTCACACACACGCTCGTCTTTGTCCCGTTCCCGTTCCGAACTACTTTTGTTTTTTTTTTTTTTTTTTAGTTTACCACGTAATGTTTTTAAATAAAAGTTTTTTCATCACAGACGCTCGATTTTCTAAGAAATATATATAATTATCTCATATATAATCGAACACGAGATTATTGAAAAACCATGTGTGAAACCGCGCTTGTGTTTTGTCTCACATTATATCTGTGCTTCAGTAGCCACTACGACGTGATATATCAAGAGAAATAAAAAAAAAAAGATCCATTTGTCGACGGTAAATCGAGTTTACGAAATTTCATTCATACGAAACCCCCCCCCCTTGCCCATTTTATCCACACCTTTAGGTGCGTAATCGCACATCTCGAAGTTGTCCTCCGAGACCGGAGAGACTGGCTCGAATAAATCTTGATTTAAAAAAAAACAAAAAAAAAAAAAATTACAAATATCCCAAATGTAAAAGAGATTGCGCGAAATTGACATGGTGTGTATGTTATTCCATTGCTGTGCCTTGGCTGACCCTCCGTGGCGGACAATGCAGACCCTGCAGCAACGGATGGAGGGTTGGAAGCAACGGAGCAAGATACTGGCGGAACAGATACACGCGGTGGATCCGTACTACGTGCTCGAGACTCGGTTCGTCGTTCAGGCCTCGTACGCCGACATTGCAGCGGGACGTACCAATAGCCCGAGCTCGAGAAACTGTAGCCCGTACAGACAGCAACGCGACGTCGCCGCCGTCGCCGCCACGCAAGTGTTGCGACCTACGATGATTGCACAGAAGCTGACCGCGGAATGTTATTCGCCGAATAACGAGGCGCAAGTTTCGAAGACGCGATCCCAAGAGAGGAATCACGAGGCTCGCGACAAGTCGGTGGGACGGATCGAAATACGCGCGGAAACGATGGACGATCGAGACACTCACGACGACGATAGGCAACAGGACGTGCCTGACGTCGTTGTCGAATCGTCGTTGTCGTCGTCGTCCGTGTCTCGACGGGGACGGTCGCTCACGCGCAAACCAACCACGTCCAAGGCGAGAGACTCGGCGAGGACAACGGCGTCCGAAAGAGACGACGTCAAAAAAACGGAAACAAACGCGAAGAACACTCTGACGCTTAGCGAGGAACGAAGAGGACGTTCGCCGAGTCCCATGTGGGTTCCCGGTTCCACCTCCTACGCCGACATTCTTCGCGGATGCGCGCAGCAGACGCAGATTACATCCACGATGGAGCCGCCATCCTCGCAGGAGATGGTTCCTCTGTCCTCGGGAGAATCTCTGCGCGAGCGCGCTCAAGTTTCTTACCCGGAGAAGACGGAGAACGAGTCCCCGGACGAGATCCAGCAGGTTCCAGCGACGACGCAGGAAATGGAGAATCACGCGCGTGAAGATGAGATTTATCAGCAGCCTTCCGAAATTTCCGCGGAGAAAGTTGAGGAACCGAATTATGAAAAATCCGAAGCAACCGACTGGTCCGACGAGGTCCAACTGGAAGAATACGACGTTCTGCAACACGTGAAACAGCAACCAACGGAAATATTCGAGTACATGATACCGGAACCGATGCCGGAACTCGTGGGTTTCATCGGATCGCCGCTCGGAACTTACTCGGTGGGCTCGTACGTTTACGCTCCCCCGTCATCCTCCTCCGGTCATCAAATCCAACAACTCGACGCAATCAATTTGCATCCGTCTTACAACGACGGTTCCTTGGCTTACGCGCCAACGACGGAGCATTACGTCGCGCAAACGTCCGCTTATCTATCGTCGACACCGGAGATCTATCAGCAGACCTCGTCGTTGCAGCATCAATGTCCCGTCGTCGATCATCACGCGAGGCACACGATTCCGAGACTGGTGGAGAATCCTGTCGCGCAACAAATAGACAATGCGCAATCGAAAGTTTCCAAAGACGCGATCGAAACCGAATCCGAGGAATCCGCGGACGCGGAAATTTCCGTGACGAACAAAACGGAACAGGACGCGACGTCGTTCGGCAACACCGAGAAGAGAGGAGGAGGCCAGGCGTTCTCGTACGCGCAGATTCTCTCGCAGGGACTCGGCGCGCGTGTCCTCACTACGACGCGAGTCGCGAACAAATCGCCGGTCGCGGATCGTCGGACTAAAGAGCGAGCCAAATCGTCCAACTCCGTGTCTCGCGAGTCGTCGCCGTTGAAATCGAAATCCGAGAATTCGGACTCGCATCCCTCGGTCGCGACGAAACACGATCAGCCAGCGAGACAGTCCAACAAGGACAGCGACTGGGACACGATGAAGAAGCGAGAGATCAGAAAGAAACATCAACAATTGAACGACAAATCACCGCGAACGGATCACGAGAACAAATCGCGAAGATCAGCGGATAAGAAGCAACAAAAGAAGGAAAGATCGAGTCCGCCGCAATTGGCGGAAACGCGAGATCGGTCCGAACTGCTCGACGAAGCGATCGATAAAACTGACGACAATTCGGCGATGAAAGAGGAAATACCGGTGTTCGAGGAGGAGGAGCAACGAGCGATCGACTCGACGGAGGTGGAGGACCCGGTGAGTCCCCAGCGGGAAAAGAAACGCAAGCAAAAGAAGAGGAAAACGGACAAATCGGTGGGGGACGAGATCGACAAGGCTCTGAGAGAGATCGAAGATATGGACAAGCAGAAATCGAAGATTCAGCAGAAGGAAAAGTTTGTCAAAGAACAGATCAAGTCTCAGATCGATCCAGTTGGCGAGTGTGAAAAATCGAAAGTCGACAGAAGACACAAAAGTGACAAGTCGATGAAAAAATCGGGCAAGTCCAAAGAAGGGACGAGAGCGAGGGACGAGGACGTGCCGGTCGAACAACGTTTGACGACGAGTCGGAAACCGACGGATCGAGGCGTGACGGAAGAAAAAAACGTCGAGGGAAACGCCGCGAGAGCTTCGAAAGACGAGGAGAACGTTCAAAAAATGGACAACGTCGCGGAATCAACGGATCAACAGATTGGCGGAAATATTTCGGAAAAATCCAAAACGAAACGCAAACACAAACCGAGCAAGAACGCGAGAGAACAAAATAGAGAAGTTGTTCTCGAAAAAAACAAAACCAATCAGCAACAATCGGAGAACGATAGCAAATTAGACGAAAACAACGCGTTAACAAAATTGTCGGTCGTTGACGAAAACGTCGATCGTCCGGAAAAAAACGCGGCGGACGGGAAACAAAGCGCGGCCGCGAAAATCGAAATTGCGAGGAGGAAACAGAGAGAAAACGATTCGAGAAAAGAGAAAACCAAGACGAGGTCCAAGGAGCTTTCGAAACCGGAAGCTGAGAACGACGTTAAAGAACGCCGAGACAAATTCGAGATTAACGTCAAAGATATACCGGACGACAAATCGATCGAAGGACCGATCGACGAGATAAAAGAAGATCCCAAGTCGCAGATCCACGCGGGAACAACGGACGAAACAAACGAGGAAAGAAACGCGTCGAAACTTGCGGAATCGCCGGTCGCTCGAAACGTCGAGTCGGAAAATACGGACGAGAAATCGGTTAAAAAAATTGAAACTGCAAAGAAGCAAAGAGACGAGTCGAAGAAGAAGACGAGGTCGAAGGAGCCGAAGATAAAAATCGCGGATGACGTTAAAAATCAAGAAAAAAAACTCAACAGCGAGGAAACGCAACTCGACGACAAATCGACGATCGAATCGCCGATCGGTAACGTGGGAAAGGATTTCAAGTCGAAAGTTTCGCCCGTCGGTGCGGAAACCGCTAAGAACAAAACTACCGCTCGGAAGAAAACTTCGCAAAAAACGAAATCCGACGAGGTTGCGATCGATAGCGCGTTGGTGCGAACTTCGGAACAAACTGAGAAAAAACAAACTTCGACCGACGCGGAGAAACGCGAAAACAATGAAGAGTCGAAGCGAACAATCGTAACGTTTTCCGAAAGTGCGGAAAAAGCAGAAATTGCGGACGAGAAGAAGATCGAGGAAATTGTTCGGCAATCGCGGGAAGTGCAAATTGTTAACGAAATCGAACGAAGCGAAAGCGAAATGAAAGAATCGACAAGAAACGAATCGGATCGGCAAACAAAAAAATTGGAAGAAGATTCCGCGATATCGAGTTTGTTAGAAATTGCAACAAGGGCGAATGAGAGCGAGGAAAAATCAACCGAGTTGATTCGAGCGAGCAAACAAACTGAGAAACTCGAGGAAAAACAGACGAAAACGTTTAAACAGAAAAAGTTGGGAAAAACAAAGTCGAGCGCTCGCGAGAAGCCGAGGAAAGACGAGGTATCGCGAGCTGAGGTCGAAACTAAATGCGATGAGAAAAACAACGGCGATCAGTTGCTGCCGGCGATCAGTTCCGAAACAATTTCGCAACCCGACGCGGAAACGCGTTTAACGGAAACCGAATTTAACGCTGAAATCAGTTCTGTTGAAGTTACCGACGATTCGATCGGTAACACATCGGTCGATGCGATTCGAGCACGCGAGAAGGAACGATTGCGCGATTCGGATTTCGAGATTCGATCGCGAACGACCGGGAAGGCTCTGATTATCGAGAAAACGATCACGACCGTGACGACGACCAGCAGCGTGCCGGAGTCGAGCGTCAAATCGTCGTCCGACGTTAAATCCACCGTGAAATCGGTGGAGATCTTAGAAAACATACCCCTGCCCAAAATCGTAGGTTCCAAAGTAACCGAGTTTATCACACTGCGTCCCGAAACCGTGGAAGCGAGTCTCACCACAACTTACGCGAGAGTGTCCGACGATTCTCCCGTTGACGATTGTTCGTTGCCGCAATCGCGACAACGCGAATTCACGGATTTGCAAAAATCCAATTCCTCTTGTCCCGCGACAACAACACCCGACGAATCCGTTCTGTTCGGTAGCGTGAAAACTAGAACGAGAATTCGTTCGAAAAATCGCGATACCGAAGTCTCGGAGTTTCGCGCGTTGCCCGAGAAAAATAACGAAGAAGTTCGCCGCGCGCGTTTTTCGGAAGAAGAGAAACAATCGAATTCGTCGATCGAATCGTCCGTAACCGAGCGATCGGAAGAGGATACACGCGATAGAGACGCGACAAGCGTGTTGGAGATTGTGGAAAACGGCAACACCGTGTCGTCGGACGAGACGGAAAGACGCGAAGACGACGTCGCTCCTAATAAAATAATCGAAAATAAAATTCAAGAAAACGAAAGAAAATCTGAAAAACGTGAAACGAACGGAGAAAAGACGGACGACGAAACTACGCGCGAAGACGCGAAGCCGCAAAAGCAAGCGACCGATTATCTGGACCTTGTGAAACCTTACGCGTTCGATTATCACGTTTACAATCAGGCGGAGAACAACTTCCATCGGTTTTTCAAAGTCGTCAAAGTGGTGAGAGAATCGCAACCGCCTCGGGTCGCGTTGCAAACGCGATCGGAGAACGTCGAGAAAGTTGTGCAAAAATCGGTGATGAGATTTCCGGTGATCGATATTTCCTCCGAATCGGTCAAGTTCGATAAGGAATTGTTCGAGATCGATCGCAGAAGACACGCCGTTCTCATAGAAGCGCCGAGATATCCGATTGCGAGTTTTCACGAGTTCGAGTCGCAAGCGGTGAAAACCAAATCCTTTCCCGCGATCTTCGACGACGATTCCAAAGCGTTGGAAAAAGAATTGAAAGAAGTTGATAAAAAAATTAACGAGACAACGAGCGCAACGGAGTCCGAAGAGCCTGGAGAAGCGAAAGCGGATGAGAAACTCGAATCGATCGAAACGGAAGAGAATTTAGTCACGTCTCGGGTTGCAACAATCTCGGAAGCGCCGAGTTCGGAGAAGGAGAAGAAGAATCCGATTTCCGAAGAATCGACGAGCGCGCAGCGATCGTCCGTGCACTTGGTTTCCGACGATACCTGGATGAGCATTCTGGACGAGCCGATTGTTATTGACGACGATTTCGATGACGACGACGCGCCCAATTCGAAAGAAGAAGATACGATCGAAGAAGCGATTACTAAGCCAGTCGCGAAAGATGTCGATAATAAACAAGAGATGATAAAAGTTGAAGAAAAACCGGCAACGTCGTCCGTGCATTTGAAATCCGACGACGATTGGCTGGCTCTTCTGGACGAAGAGATTCCGATCGACGACGACGACGATTTCGAGGAAACTCGACCGATCGAAAACGTTGCCGTTCAAATGGAAAATCGAGAAGACGTCGAGGAGAAAGAAATCGAGAAAGAACCGAGAGAAGTAGCGGAAGAACAACGGCGGAGCGAAGAGGAAAAAGTGGATGTTGAAACTTCGGGTGACGTTGAAGAGAAAGAAACTGCGGAAGTGGAAAAGGAAGAGACAATTGAAAAATTGGAACAAACGAGCGAGGAGAGAGGATCGACAATCGAGAAGCCGAACGTGGAAGAGAATCTCGAATCGTCGAGCGGCGCGATTTCGTCGGAACTTGCCGTGAAAGACGAGTATAATCGCGCGAGGGACGTTTCGAGCGAACCGGATAAGCAGAGCAGCGACAAGACGAGAACCAAATCGAAAAAGAAGAAGGAATCGAAACGCGGCAAGGACGCGAGATCCAAAGAGAAGATGAAACCAGCGGGATCCAAGCGGCAAAGCGACGTGGAAATTAAAACGGACGTGGTCGAAAGCGATTTGTCGCCAACGCGGCGAACAACCGCGGAGCGAGAACGTGAATTGATCGAAGACAAAAAAACCGATTCCTCGAAATCGATCGAGCGACAAGCCGCCGAGGAGGAGCCGCCTGTTGCGGACGATTTTGCAACGAAACAGAAGACGCGAGAGCCAGCCGCGAAAGAAGAAGCGCAGCCAATTCGCGAGGAACGCAAATCGAAATCCAAGAAGCAGAAGAAGCAAAGCGGAGAGAAATCGGAGATCGTTCGCGACGAAACGTCGACGGAAAAGCCGCGCGAAGTTTGTTTCTCGAAAGAAGAGAAGACGCGGGAACAGACAGACGCGTCTTCTTTCTCGGAAGAAGAAATGAGAGAAGAGCTGAGGGTCACGATAATGGACGAGATTGTCAAACCGGCCGAGGAGAAACTCGCTAAATCAACGGATTCGAAGCAAATGAGAGAAGGGAGCGGCGGCAAGTCTTACGCGCAGGTCGCGGCCGCCTCGTCGCGAACTTCTCCTCTTCGGGAAGAAATTTTGTCGTCGCAATCCGTCGACGACAAGACGACGACCGATGACGAAGCTTACGAAAATCCGAACGCGGAAACACCAACGCAAAGTCCGATCGTGGAACAAGTCGGCGAATCGATTTCCTCCTCGATCGTTCCCGAAGACGAAGACTCGTCGCTCGTCGATTCGAAAGAAGACACGCGAGAGGAAGTCACGCGCGCGAAACCGGAAACGAACACGTGGGCTGCGATAGTCGGCTGCAAAAAGTCCGTCGAATCGCCGGAGGAGGACGACGCGCCGATCGCTTCCGATCTTTGCAAATCGGAGCAAAAACAACAACCGACGCACGTTCAAATTTACGTGGAAGAGACTACCGCGCCGGAACCTCTGGAGAATTTGGTTCAGATAGACGATCAAGGTTTCATGGAAGTCGTGAATCGAAAAGAACTGCGATCCAGACGGTCCAGATCGCGTTCCCGAAGCGCCAGGCGAGAAAACTCGGCGGCGGAAACTACGATCGAGGAGAAAACAATCGAAACGCCAGACGAACGTAAACACGAACCCGCGCTAGAGCACCACGTCGAGTTGGAAAACGGCGAAGTGAGCAAAGTTGTTCGAGAAGATGAAAAAGACGAAGAAGAAGAAGAAGAAGAAGAAGAAGAATATAAGATCAAACCGAAGAAGAGCCCGAGCGAACGCAGAAGGGAAATGAAAAAACAAAAGGCGGAGGGCGAGAGTCGAGGTGAGGGTAAAAATGTTCGAGGAGCAAAATCAAACGAGCAAGACGAAGGGCAGAAGAGCAAAAAGAGCAGGTCGAAGAGAAAGACCGGAAAGGATCGGAGATCGCAACAAACAACCGAAGTCGACGAACGGATCGAAGCGAAAGAACGCGACGACGCGCGAAAAGAAGAAGTTTCAAAATTCACAAACGAAATCGAAATTCAAGCGGAAAATGTGATCGAACGTCCCGAGGCTTCGAACGACGAGTCGGTTGAGGAAACGAAAAAATCAATCGAAGAGAACAAACGGGCGGAGATTCTTCCACAGATCGGTGTTGCGAAATCGAAAAAGAAATCGAGAAGCAAAAAGGGCAAAATTACGTTTGAACAAACGGTCGAAAATATATTTGGCCCGGACGAGAACGCGGTTGTTGTTGGGGATTTGACGGAGAAAATAGACGCGAAGCCGTCGGGACCGAAATTAGATAACGAGATGGAAATAAAACACGAGGAGGAGAAGGTGGAGGAAGAAGCAATTGTAACCGCGAGTTTAACGCGCGACGTCGCGACGACGGAAATTGAAGAAATTTCGACGAAGATGATGGAGAAAGAAAATAATATCGCGGACGAAGAAGAAGCGACGAAATTGACGTGTGAAAAACAGTCAACGGAAAAGAAAACGGAAGAAAATATCGCGAGACAAATGGAAATTCCGAGACCTACGAGAGCGGAGAAGAAGAAACAGAGGAAAAGAGGAGGAAAGATTTCGTCGCGAAGCGCAGAGCCGGAAAGAGACGTCGAAAACGCGAAGGATCAAAGCGTGCACGTCGATTCTAAGAACGCGGATGTCTCAGAAAAAGACCGACGGAAGACGAGCGACGAGACAACCGACGAAATTCCGCAAGACGCGAAAGATTCCGCGGAAACAAAGAGCGTCGCGCAAGAAGATTCTTCCGCGAATGCGGAAAAACTCGCGTCTCGTCCCGTTGTCGCGGAAAACAAAGAGCCGATTAAAACCGAAAAGAAACGGAAACCGAAATCTTCGAAGAAGCGAGAGTCAACCGAGAACAAATCGTCAAAATCCGAGCGACACGAAGAAGAAGATACCGTTGAAACAATTGATGCGAGCAAGGAGGTGGAGTCTGTCAATGATTCCTTGAAGACAAAGGAGACGCGTGTCGGTTCGATCGAGCCGGAACTTGAAAAACAACCCGAAGAGAAGAAAGAAGACGAAGACGAGAGCGAGAAGCGACCGGAAGCGACGTCGGAAGCGTCGGAAGAACTTGACACCGCGCAACCAACGGTCGAGGTGAAAACATCAGAAACAATCGGTGACGATCGGAAGGACGCACCTGTGGAAGTTGCCAACACTTCGACAATAGTCGACGTGGAAAAGAAGACGGAATTATCTGAACCCGATGACACTTTGGAACCGGGCGATAGCGCGACCGATGTCGCAAAAGCGAAACCAACGTCGGACGACGTTGACGCGATTGACACCGTCCATTCAAAACATTCTCCACCGTTGATCAAATCGTTGGAAGACGAGGATCTTAGACCCGCGCGAGCTAAACCCGACGATAATTCGTTCGACAAGATCGAATTGTCCAAGTCCGACGATATTTTGGAATTGTGCGATAGCATCGATTCTACAAATATTGTCCCAAGTCATCGTCGTTCTTCGTCTTCGATCAAATCGTTCGAAGACGAGAACGAGTCGAGATGCGAGATCGCAATTAACGAACGGGAGGAGAGCTTCGCCGATTTGGTCGAGCCTCCGAAATCCAAAGTACAGTTTTACATAGCGGACGAGATGTTGGTTTTGAATTTCGACCGACGTAAGAACGTCGACGTTCCGTCGACGACGTCGTTCGCGCGGGAAAAAATCTGCGGCAACGCAGGAAAACCCGCAATTGTCAATTCGTTTAATTCGCGTCGATTTCTCTCGATCGACGACGGTTTCTGGCCCGACAAACGGCCCTATCACGAGGCCGAGCGCGATCACTTCGAGAATTTAGCGTCTAACACGAAAAAGAATCTCGCCGATTCGTCCGACGGCGAGAATCGCGATTTCGACGAGCGCGACGACAATTCCGACGGCGGCGTCGGCGGCGGCGGTGGCGGCCAATCGCGTGATTCTTGCGGAAATTCGCGTTCCTTATTGGGAACGCCCTACACGGAACGTATGATAGCCGATTTGCCCGGCGGCATATGCAGCTGGAGCGATTATAGCACGTATCTGTCGAGCGAGAGCGAGCGGACGCCGGATCATAGCTTGCCGATTGACGATCCCATTACGGTCGATTCGTGTTTCTCCCCGGATTATCGCTCGATCGACGCGCGATCGTCCGATCTTTCCTTGTTCCCAATTTGTCACGATTCGCAAAACGAGACGAAGACACCGGTCGAAGCGAGTCCGAGGAAACGCTCTGCGTCTTCAAGTAGCCTCCAAAATCCCAATGATCCCGTCACCCTCTCGTCGTCGACCACCACCCTCGCCACCCATCTTGGTCCACAATCCAAACTGCATTTAGGTAAAGAGACGAGGGAGGAATCCGCGTTGGAACGTTGCAGCCCGAACGGGGATGCGGAGAGAGATACGGACGAGGCCGGGATAAGGATGTGCAGAAGGATCCAGGTGCGATCACAGCCGTCACAGCCGGTGCTGCTGCTGCTGCTCTGTCTTCTTTTTCTTCTTCTTCTAGTCGAGTTTGAGAAAACCAAGTCTTATACATATACACACAGCAATTATATATTTTGTGTATATGTACATGTGTGTGTCACATATGTATATGTACCCGATTTTATAATACCCTATAGTCATTTTTGTTGGATTTGGTTATTCTGGTCTTGTTGTCTATTTTCGCTCTCCTCTGTCTCTCGTGATTTTTTCTGTGTGACGACTACCACATTATTTATCTTTTTTCGATCTTATTGCGTATCCATAATGTGTGCGATTTGTTGTCTTGTGTCTCGTCGGAGAGCGCGTGCGTGTTTCTATTACTGCTAGTTT